GAGGTGAATCATAGAATTGATGAGGGGAAAAGGGTGAGTGGTGCACTTAGGAGTCTGTGGAGACAAAGAACTTTGTCCTTGGAGGCAAAGAGGGGAATGTATGAGAGTATAGTTTTACCAACACTCTCATATGGGTGTGAAGCATGGGTGATGAATTGTTGCAGCGAGGAGAAGGCTGGAGGCAGTGGAGATGTCATGTCTGAGGGCAATGTGTGGTGTGAATATAATGCAGAGAATTCGTAGTTTGGAAGTTAGGAGGAGGTGCGGGATTACCAAAACTGTTGTCCAGAGGGGTGATGAAGGGTTGTTGTGGTGGTTCGGACACGTAGAGAGAATGGAGCGAAACAGAATGACTTCAAGGGTGTATCAGTCTGTTAGTGGAAGGAAGGCGGGGTAGGGGTCGGCCTAGGAAAGGTTGGAGGGAGGGGGTAAAGGAGGTTTTGTGTGTGAGGGGCTTGGACTTCCAGCAGGCGTGCGTGAGCGTGTTTGATAGGATGTGAATGGAGACGAATGTTTTTTAATACTTGACGTGCTGTTGGAGTGTGAGCAAAGTAACATTTATGAAGGGGTTCAGGGAAACCGGCAGGCCGGAATTGAGTCCTGGAAAATGGGATGTACAGTGCCTGCACTCTGAAGGAGGGGTGTTAATGTTGCAGTTTAAAAACTGTAGTGTAAAGCACCCTTCTGGCAAGACAGTGATGGAGTGAATGATGGTGAAAGTTTTTCTTTTTCGGGCCACCCTGCCTTGGTGGGAATCGGCCAGTGTGATAATAAAATAAAAAACAATAAATAACGAAAGAAAAATTTGGGGCACTTACCTTTAATGAAGATCTGGTGATGATTGATGGGATGGGAGGAGGGAGAGAGTGTGGATGGTGTTAGCATTTAGAAGGGAAATCCCCCTCCATTAGGACTTGAGGTAGCAAGTCCTTTTCCAGGGTTACTTCCCTTCTTCTTTTAATGCCACTGGGAAAACAGGTTGAGAGTCACTGGACTCTGTCGCACAACATAACTGGCAGCCTCATCATGCCTAATCACACTATGTATACCACTACGATTCTTAAATCTTTCAAACCAACCTTTGCGGGCCTTAAATTCACTCACATCACCACTAGTTGCAGGCAATTTTTTACCAAATCGTCATGCAACTGCCTAGCCTTTTCTTCATTTCAACAGTCATTAGCACCCTTAGTCTCGAAGGGTTGGCACTGGGAGCTTTCTTGGGGCCCATGGTGACTTATTTTGCAAAAAACAGGCACCAAAAACAGTGATAATATGGATAATATGGAATGTACCAATGTATCCTTAGATGCGCGCACACTGGCTGGCTTGTAAACACTGGCACACCAGGGGCAGTTCAGGCCACACATGGACACGTCTCGTACGAACCACATCGCATACCAGGGTTTTTTATCAGGAAGCGAGGCAAATTTTCTGCGATATAATGCATCGGTTTTCCGGAATTATCGGACACCGATAGCATCACGAACCTGGGGTCCACTGTATATATATATAGTGTTATATATAATATATATATATATATATATATATTATATATATATATATATATATATATATATATATATATATATATATATATATATATATTACACACACACCATAATTACTTTAAATTATTAATAATTTAACCTTCAAATCGCTTGTTCTCTCTAGGCTGGAATACTGTTGAACACTAACTGCCCCCTTCAAGGTAGGCAAAACTGCTGACCTGGAGAGTGTACAAAGAACTTTCACAGCACACATAAGTATGATGAAGCAGCTAAATTACTGGGAACAGTTGAAGGCCCTTGATTTGTATTCCCTGGAATGCAGGCGAGAGATATACATGATAATACTATTTCACTTTGAAAATCCTAGAGGGACTAGTACCAAACTTGCACATGAAAAATCACTCCATATGAAAGCAAAAGACTCGGCAGGAGATGTAACATTCCCCCAATGAAAAGCAGGGGCGCCATGAGCACACTGAGACACAACACAATAAGTGTCCGGGGCCCAAGACTGTTCAACTGCCTCCAGCATACATAAGGGGTATTACCAATAGACCCTGGCTGTCTTCAGGAAGGCACTGGACAGGCACCTAAAGTTAGTACCTGACAAGCCTTGCTGTGGTTCATACATCTGTTTGCGTGCGGCCAGCAGTACAACTGGTTGATCAGACCCTGATCCACCACGAGGCCTGGTCTCAGACTGAGCCATGGGGCGCTGACCCCCGAAACCCTCTCCACGTATACTCCAGGTAAGGGAGGTGCCTGGATACTGATAAGGGACTCTTGATTTGAGGAATGTGACCTGACCTCTTCTTGGATTAACCCTAATTGCCTCTTATTTTCCCAGGATCCAAATGACCCCCATGGTTTAGCACCTTCCCCTTTAAAATAACAATAATAATTCAACTTTCATATTTCTGATGCATTCAATATTTATGATACAGAAACACAAAATGTTCAACGATTATGTTTACTGATGATCATTATGCATCACATCTTCAAAAAAAACAATTACAGTATATAAACAGTGTATAAACATACATATAACGTGTATATATATATATATATATATATATATATATATATATATATATATATATATATATATATATATATATATTATATATATATATATTATATAGATATATATATATATATAGATACACACACACACACCTACCATCTGACTTACGACCTGCTCGAATTACGACCACTCGACTTACGACCGTGTTTTTTATGCCAAATTTCTGGGAAATAAACAACTATTTGTGTTGTACACAGTGTTTATCCTAAACCTTACAGTATAAAATACAGTACTAACAACATAAAAAGTAAAGTAAAACTTAAATACCAAAATAAAACAATAAAATAAAGTCAGTCAGTTCCTGATCAGCCGGGCTGTGGCTCGTATGTTGGTTTGCGTGCAGCCAGCAGCAACAGCCTGGTTGATCAGGCGCTGATCCACCAGGAGGCCTGGTCACAGACCGGGCCGCGGGGGCGTTGACCCCCGAAACTCTCTCCAGGTAAACATTACAAAAATGTTTTGTTGATATTCAGTAGTAAAGTTCGACTTACGACCATTTCGACTTACAACCGGTTTCTCGGAACCAAACTCGGTCGTAAGTCGGATTGTAGGTGTATATATATATGCGCAAAATTTGATATATACTCTAGGTTTCTGTTGTCTATAGAAACCTAATGTGTATATACCCCAATAATATACTTGTGCAACATAAGAGCTTCTTATTAGTTAATCCTGTCAAGGCTAGAGAGAGCACAATAGATTTTGTCTATAAAAGGGAAGAAAGATGCTGGAATGCCGTAAATTCATTTACTATGGTTCGCTTGGCTATCTGCTGAAGTGGGGATAAGCCAGCCAGGCAGAAAAGGAATTGTCTAGGGGCTGCCTTGACCACATTTCAACATTTTGAGAGTGCTGGCCAACCTCTTTGCTATTCCAGCAAGAATGGTCAGGTGACCTCACAATTTCCCATAAACCTGATGTCTCTTCCAAATTAACACGATCGATTGGGTAATGCCTACATCAAAGAAAATGTCTGCACTATGGGTGTGCACAATATGGAAAAAATCCTCATATGTGGGGGTATTGTGGGAGTTAGTGGGAAGTCAGTACATTGTATAAAATTTGTGTGCCATTGTGAAATACTCACTCCAAGGAGGAGTAACTGCATTCTTGGCTCTTTGGAAGAAACTACTGCTCAGAAACAGTGATGAGGACCAAGATAAAAGAGCATAATATTCATGTACTAAAATGACACTGAAAACTCCCTAATAGCAACCCAAACTATGAACAACCACATGTCTTCCACCTTCAGGTGTTCCAGCTAGCAACCAAGTGAAAAATGACAGGGTATATTAGAAAAAAAGACTTGTGTGTACTCTGGTGTTTGCTGACCTTATTCCTCGAACCTGAAAACATTTTCCCAATCCAACCTTCAACAAACCTCTGTATTAAATTAATAAAGTCGCTGGTTGGGAAAATGTCTTCATTACAAAACTACCCAGTGTTCCCACAGTCTTATTCTTCCTATGGAGGAGGGACTCCACTTTACACAGCACCTATTTTCAGACCCATGATTTTGTTGGCTTTCAATTGAGTGTTGTTCTCCCCACTGGTGACACTCGCCAGTGGGTGGAACATAATGAAACAATGGCTCAGTTTGAAGCCAATGAAACATGGAACACAAAAAAAAGCTGGTGAACATGAAAGGCCCTCCATATACAGCTCTCCTCACTTAGTGACGTACTAGTTTACCAACGACTCAGATTTACGATGGGCTCTCTGACCAGTATACATACCTAAATAATGCATATTAGAGCTGATTTCCTCTATTCTGTTTATTATAATATACAGTACACTACTGTATAAACATATAAAAATATACAGTGGACCCCCGGTTAACGATTTTTTTTCACTCCAGAAGTATGTTCAGGTGCCATTACTAACCGAATTTGTTCCCATAAGAAATATTGTGAAGTAGATTAGTCCATTTCAGACCCCCAAACATACACGTACAAACGCACTTACATAAATACACTTACATAATTGGTCGCATTCGGAGGTAATCGTTATGCGGGGGTCCACTGTACTAAAAATGTTATAAATGGTTCAAAGGTGACAGTAAAACAATATCAAATACTCCAAATAAATACAATAAAATACAATATCAAATAACAATATCAAATACATACTCAATTGTTGTACAAATGTGTTGCTGACAATAACTGGATTGTCGGTTATATAAGTTATCACTTTTTACCCAAACAAGTGAGTCTATATAAAGCACCATGTGTCTTAAACAACCCAAGTACAGTAATTCTGGTAACTGTAGACTACATGTATAATAATGTACATTTAAACTCATAAAATTATAGAAAATCAAATGCAAAGATGTATTTTATATGGCATAAAATACATAACAGTACAAGCACTAAAATTATACAAAGGAGTTCTATTAAAACATAATGTTAATATACTACTATAATATAATCACTGCTGTTAACCATGAACAACAACAATTACAACATAACCAAAAATTACATCATAAACACCATGAAATTACAACATGAATATCAAAATTTTGTTAACATTCTGGTACAAGAAGTCATGTGTGATAGTCAAGTGGAAAGACTTAACCTGAAAGAGTTAAACCATCCCATCCTCTTAACCTGCATACCTGGAGGGTGTTCTGGGGGTCAATGCCCCCGCAGTCCAGTCCATGACCAGGACTTGTGGTGGATCAGGACCTGATCAACCAGGATGTTACTGCTGGCTGCATTTCAACCAACATACAAACCACAGCCTGGCTGGTCAGGTACTGACTGTGTGTGTATATCCAGCTCCCTCTTGAGGATAGCCAAGGAGTCTTGAAGACAGCCAGCACCAAACACAATGAACAATGGCTCAATTGAAAGCCAACAAAAACATGGAACACTGAAAAGAGGTGCAGTTTATGAAGGGCCCTCCTGTATTGTATATTTTGAATACAGTAAGGCTTCTGATGAGAGTTCCATATAGAAGACTATTCAAGGAAGTGCCAGCACATGGTATAAAAGGATTGAGACCTGGCCCACTAATGGGAAGCAAAGTGCTTGCATACCTGGAGTGAAATCGGAATAGAGATTGTCACAAGAGGCACTGCACAAAGATTTGTTTTGGGCCCCTTGTTACTCATAAACAACATTAATGACAAAGGTCCCCAATGGATATGTCACTTTGTCTGACTTTTTTCGGGTTATCCTGGTGGGCAGGTTACACTATGCATGATTCTACTTATGTGTACCTGTATCTAAATAAACTTATTTACCTACTAATAACCTTGAACAGAGAATAAGCAGCAACATAAGTTCAATTAACCAGACTTGTCCTGGAGGCAGTAAAGTGCCTGCACTCTGAAGAAGTAGAGATATCAGCAGTTTTTAAACTGTAGTGTTAGTACACCTCTTTACAGACAGTTATGGAATAAGTGATGATGAAAGTGTTTCTTCTTTTTCAGGCCACATTACCTTGGGATGAAACGGCCGATGTGTTAATAAAAAAATATAACTAGTCAATTTGCTGACAACACAAAAGTTAGCCACGTAGTGGATTCGGAGGATCCCAATGAATTTCAGAAAGGTCTAGACAAATGGCACAGTTCAGTGTGGAAAAAATGCAAAGTCCTACTCCTCAAAAATAAAAATAACCTTGGCATTTATAAACCAGGTGATGTAGAGCTTGATCATACAGAGAGACATGGGAGTCATGGTCAGCAAAAACCTGAAGCCAAGACAGCAATGCCTAAGCATGTACAATAAGGTTAACAAACTACATTTCCATTTCTTTTTTTTAACACATGGGCCATTTCCCACCAAGGCAAGATGACCCAAAAAAAGAAGAAACACTTTCATCATCACTCACTCCATCACTGTCTTGCCAGAGACATACATACACTACAGTTCAAAAACTGCAATATATCTCCACCTGTCCCATTTTACATCAAGAAATACAGAAGTAGCAGGAGTCTGAATGTTATTCTACAGGTTTGTATATCAATAGTATTTCCTCACTTAGATTATGCAGTTCAGCTTTGGCTTCCATACTACACAATAAATATAAATGAACTGGAGAATATGCAGAAAAGAATGACAAAATTAATCCACTGTACACGAAGATGAATTGAGAGCCCTGAACTTGCTCTTCTTAAAAGACATACAGGAAGGCCCAGATTATACAGCAGGTTAAGTTCCAAACTACTGCTGTAAAGTGAATCAGTCTTTTTTTTCACTTTCAACTGCATATAAAAGCCTGATAACATGTTTACACTATCATATATTAACTAAGCAATACAGATAGGCATCAATAATGCATATAAATTACACTAATGCATATAAATATTTATGCATAGAAATATTTTCATTCTTAGCTTATAGTAAGTGGTGAACATATTTACTGTAGGAAGTCTGAATAAATGAAGAATGGGTATAACTGAAAATCAACTGTATAAGCAAAATGCTGTAAAGTGAAGCCCACCTGTACAAATTACTATGTAAATTATTCATATCTATAAATATTCTATAATGTATCTGAAAGTCTCAAAATTGAGTTTAGTAAACAGCAGTATAATGTACATATATATATAAATGCATATAAAAATAATCAAGAATATATCTCTTTTTCTTTCAACAAACCGGCCGTATCCCACCGAGGCGAGGTGGCCCAAAAAGAAAAACGAAAGTTTCTCTTTTTAAATTTAGTAATTTATACAGGAGAAGGGGTTACTAGCCCCTTGCTCCCGGCATTTTAGTTGCCTCTTAAAACACTCATAGCTTACAGAGGAAGAATTCTGTTTCACTTCCTCATGGAGATAAGAGGAAATAAACAAGAACAAGAACTAGTAAGAAAATAGAAAAAACCCAGAGGGGTGTGTATATATATGCTTGTACATGTATGTGTAGTGTGACCTAAGTGTAAGTAGAAGTAGCAAAACTTACCTGAAACCTTGCATGTTCACGAGACAGAAAAATGGACACCAGCAATCCTACCATCATGTAAAACAATTACAGGCTTTCGTTTTGCACTCACTTGGCAGGACAGTAGTACCTCCCTGGGTGGTTGCTGTCTACCAACCTATTACCTAGAGGAATAATATCTGTACTATATTAAAATACATCTAGGTAGTAGGTTGGTAGACAGCAACCGCCCAGGAAGTTACTACCATCCTACAAAGTGAGTGTAAAACAAAAGCCTTGCATTTGTTTTACATGATGGTAGGATTGCTGGTGTCTTTTTTCTGTCTCATAAACATGCAAGATTTCAGGTACGTCTTGCTACTTCTTCTTACACTTAGGTCACACTACACATACATGTACAAGCATATATATACATACTCCTCTGGGTTTTCTTCTATTTTCTTTCTAGTTCTTGTTCTTGTTTATTTCCTCTTCTCCCCATGGGGAAGTGGAACAGAATTCTTCCTCCGTAAGCCATGCATGTTGTAAGAGGCGACTAAAATGCCTGGAGCATGGGGCTAGTAACCCCTTCTCCTGTTCAAATTACTAAATTTAAAAAGAAAAACTTAAGTTTTTCTTTTTGGGCCACCCTGCCTTGGTTGGATACAGCCGGTTTGTTGAAAAAAAAATATTCATATTAAACTTGCAATATTTTCATCTTGCGGTGGGTTCATCGGAACGGAACCTCATTATAAGTTGAAGAGCACCTGTAGGTCCCCTACTGTCAGTATGACAGCTTTCTCCATCAACAGAGTGACTACCACCTTTACTGGCAGTGTAGCAACAATTTTTGTTGCCTTTGTAGTGATTATGTTCCTGAATGACATTATAGTCACTACCTTATTCACTGCGGCTTTACCAACTACCTTCCTCACCAATTTGTTGCCTGGTCATTGCAGCAACCTCCTCCTTTACTTTCTTCAGGAGGTGCACAATATTCACATTCCTCCTTTTCTAACATGATAAATTCATCTATCAGCAACTCTGGGTTCAAGTTGCGGTGTCTCAGGCTTGATATCTTTCTAGCGTGCTGCACCAGAGCCTTGGTGTCATCCCAAAGATCTTTCCTGTGTTGATTCAAGGTCTTTTCCTTCTGTTGTATCTCTTCTCTAACTGGGTAATCTCTTTTGCTTTTGTATCGTAATCATATTTCAAAGACTCGTCAATTACTTCTTCAGTTTTATCTATTAAAATATATTGTGCATCTTCTCGTTTGTGTTGTGCAATTCTATGACCACACTTAATGCAGTGACCACTTAAAGGAAACTTTGAGCAAATACCCAATTCACATGCAGTTGCTGCTACTGATGCTATTCCAGTACATACAGCAGTTACCACAGATACTGCCAAAGGAGCTCCAAGCTTCTTTGTAAGTGGTGCAGCAGTAGCTGCTGTAGAAATTCCTGCTATGCAAGCCTTCCCAACAATTTCTCCAGCACCTATGTTTTTATGAGGCTTTGAACATGTTTTTTTACATTTCTTACAGTTGTGGAAGTGATAGTTATCTTCACTGTATTCCAATATTGTTTCTTTTCTTTCTTCTAAATGGGTATATTTAATGCCATTTAGTTCAATCTTCATGTCCTTTAGTGAATCCTTGTCTTCCCTGACTGTGTTGTCAAGAGCAGAAGCATACTGCACATTTCTCATCAGAGACCTTTTTACCTCCTCCAAGAGTTTCTTCTCCATCAAAAGGTCTCTTGTCTGTTTTACATTTACTGGGGAAAATTTGTGCAGATCTTTAAAAAACCTGTCATATTCTTTCACCATAGATGCCCATCTAGGCTGCAAGCATGAAATGATGAAGCCAATGGAGTCATCATTACGTGACACATACAGAGGCATGTTGTCAAGTTGGTATATATTAACAAAGGGTACTTCTTCATGTCTCATCACATCACCAACTGAAGCAGTCCCATCTGAAGCAAATGTAGCCAGAAGCTGTGTTATGTCACCAATATTACTCCCTAGAACTGAGGTTATTTCTTCTAGCATCTGTTTGTGATGTGCTGATATCCTGTTTTGATTTGCCTTGGCTACTAAAGCAACACAGTTAAGATCATCAATACCATAGTCATTTGTCAGGAAATGAGTCATTCTCTCTATGGCGATTTTCTCATAATTTTCTCTGGTGTCGCCAAACCCAGGTGTGTCTATCAACATATAATTACACTGTAGAGGCATTCCTTCTTGATGATAGATAATGTAGGCAGTGACATACTCTGTCTGACTCTCTACTACAAGAAGATCATCACTGTCAACTTGGTCTTTTAACTGAAACCTAAAATTATCTTCAAAGTTGACACCAAAGAGGAAGTTGATCATGGCATCGATGGCACGAGTCTTCCCGGCACCTGTCTCCCCCAGCAGGAGAACTGAATTGATGGCTTCCTTATTCTCAGGTCCAATGGTCATAACTTGTATCTTGTGGTCCTCGTCCTTGTGAAGATCTTTAGTCTTTATCTCATAGGTTGAAAGTCCAGCTTTCTCTTCCACTAGTGAGCAATGGTGCTCTATCAAGTGCTGCTTCAGCTGGGCGTTTGACGTGCTAACCTGAAAAGATTCAGTGATTATTCTAATGCAGAATTCTTGTGTTAAATTTTAAGTTCAAGTTTCTTCCACAACCTATAGTTTCATTTACTATTTTTAGTAATATACCACTTAGATTCAGCCTAAAATGATATAGTGCTCAAAGTTCTAGATTAAAGTTGTTTTAACCCTTAAACTGTCCAAACGTAGATCTACGTTTGCGTGCGTAGTGCTCCAACCTTGATTTTCTCCATAAGAAACAATGTAAAAAAAAAAAGTAGATCTATGTTCGGAGCGCTATGAGAGCAAACGTAGATCTACGTTTGGACAGCTTAAGGGTTAATGTAAAAAAAAAACTATCCACCAAGAAGTCATCGTAGTATTTTCCTCAAAGAAGAATGCAGTTACTGTATTTTCTGGCATACAAGATGTGCCTCTTTTCCCACAAAGTTTTGAATCAGCCCGTGCCTTAAATGCTCAAGGTCAGGATCAAGGGTAGGCTTTGGGTTACACTTTAGGATAAAGTAAAAGGGTAATTAACCCGTAAATGTAACTGCTGATTTATCATTATGATATTTCTGTCATGCACCTTATATACAGGAAATTACAGTGGTACCTTGAGTTACGAACTTAATTCATTCCAGAAGGCTGTTCGAGTGCCGATACTGAACAAATTTGTTCCCATAAAGAATAATGTAAATTAGATTAGTCCGTTTCAGACCCCCAAAAATACACTTACAAAAGCACTTGCAAAAATGCACTTACATAACTGTTCGAGTTGGGAGCTGTTTGAAATTCAAGGTACCACTGTACAGTATGTACACAACACTATTTCCACAACACTGCATCCTCAGGGGATATATATGTCATTTTTCCCTTACATGCATACCTATGATAAAGTTTAATTGATAAATTATGCAAAATAAGTCTAGAATTAATACTTTTTCACTGATGAAGTATTTCACAGCTTCTCTTAGGCTTTGAAGAACTGCCAACTTCTCTACATTTGTGCTTTGGGGCCATTATTATGCAAAATTAAGGGTTATCTTGGGCCAAAGTAAACCATGGATAACTGAAATCTTGGATACTGAATCCACGGATATGGAGGCCCTACTGTATATACATTCTGTCCTTCCTGTTCTCTACATTAGATTATTAAAGCCCCTGGTGAACAAAATGTCCTCTAAATGTCCTAAAACAGCTTGTGTCACTTGCACAGTCACACACACTCTAAGCTAATGATCTATAGTGCCTGGGTAATGGGAGATACAGTGGTACCTTGGGATACAAACAGCTCAAAACTCGAACAATTATGTAGGTGTATTTATGTAAGTGCTTTTGTAAGTGTATTTTTGGGGGTCTGAAATGGATTAATCTAATTTCCACTATTCCTTATGGGAGCAAATTCGTTCAGTATCGGCACTCGAACAGCCTTCTGGAACGAATTAATTTTGTATCCCGAGATACCACTGTAATTAGGTTTGATGAGTGCCAATTCCCTTGGTAAAATGCCCATTAGTGTAAAAAAGTCTTCTAACCCTCTTGAAGGAAGATAGTGCTATAATAGTCATCAATGACTCTCAAATCTTACCTCAGAGCTTGAATTATAGTCAACTTTGCAAGTAACAAGTGCCTCAGTTTCCAAGGGTGAACCAGGCTGGCCCGACAGTGCGGGGGGGGGG